AAGCATTCAATAGTAGCACCTCGAACACAGTGAACCATGTGGTTTGGTAAACAGATCTGGTGAGCTTCAGATTAGGCAATGAGGAGGCTCAATTCTGTTCAAATTCTTTTGATTCAGTTCAAATTCCCTTTGGACAATAAAATTTCTACTCTAGAATATGACTTACATTCTTCTAGAGGTAGGAAGGCCCTAGACACTACATCTTAAAGGAGTGTAGCGAGCAGATGGGAGAGTAAAGAGACAGGAGATGGTGGGAGCGTGGCCAGGATCCAAGGTGGCCCCGAGAATCCCGCCAGTGGGGGACGTGCCCGGTGTCCTCCCCTTCCCTGAGGGAGCGGGGCCTGGGAACACACTGGGATAGTCACTCCTGGATCACTCCATGTTATGAACTACTCCATCTTTACCCACTGGTGACAGATTTGTCCTGCTGGCCTCGAAGGAAAAAGCAAACTGCCATCTGTGAACTATCCACGGGGGCCATGGGGGCGGGCCTGAGGGAGGCCCTAGGAGTTGACGGCCACCCTGCTGTCGGGTGGCAAGAAAACTGGGAGAAGGGAATTCCGACAACAACCCGAGGAAGCTGGGAAGAGACTCTCCATCTCCGGTTGAGACCACAGGCCCGGCTGACTCCTGACCTCAGCCTTGCGAGACCCTGAGCAGAAAACCCAGCTCTGCCATGCCCAGACTTCTGGTTTGCAGCAATTCTGAGATGATAAACTGGAATAGGCTTAAGCTGCCAAGTCTGTGATAGTGATGCAGCATAGAAACTACTTCAGTGGGAAACGGCAAGGATTAGAAGCTCTTCTTGCCCCCTTTCCTGCTCTCCACGAGTAGAGATAGTGCTCAGAGAGGGCACGGAAGAGGCACCATGACCAAGGCTTGTCCAGATCTTGGCACACAGGGTCCTCCACACCTCCCTGGCCATTCTGCTGTGGCGCCCAGAGGCTCCACCAGGGACTAAGGCCTCGGCTGGCTCCTCCACAGTCTACCCCAGGCCATGCTGCCACAGCACTCAGCTGACGGGTCTGGGAGACCTGGGGAGGGTCTGAGCACGGGGGGATGGGGGCATGGAATCATTCACAAGAAAAATGCTACCTCCTGCCAGCATCTGTATAACCTCTCTCTTTAAAAATATAAACACTTGGCCGACATCCCCAGGCCTTGAAAAGAAATGCAAGCATTGCCACCGGAACTGCTTATCTCAGATGAAGAGTGGGCAGTAGGAGGGAAGGCCTGGGAGGAAGAGGATTAAGGACCCATCAGAGTGTGAGCTGGGAAGGCCTGGGGATGGCCCAGGGGCTCATGGGGAGGGTTGGACATGGCTCAGTGGCCAAGGGTTTTCTAACAAGGATAGTCTAGTTCTGGATGTTTCCAATCAATCTCCTTTCCACTTCTTGCCCCTACGTTCCTCCCCTAGTAAGCCATTTTTATGAATTCACATTAAATCCCTCCCTTTTTTTTCCCCTCCCCAACTAATAGATAGAGACTGAAGCGTGTCCTCTCCAGGGGAATGTGCTCAGTAGCAGGGAAGGATGGGAAGTCCAAATGTCTTCAGGACCCAGAAGAGTGAGGTCACACGAGCTGGGTCTGCAGCCACTGTGCCCGAGCGTGGAGACGGTGTGGGGGCAGAGAGCTTGCAGAAGATGCCCCAGCCTGCCGTGTGCCAGCCTCCATCTGACTGCTGCTTAGGGCCAGATGTCCTAGGATTATAGCACCTTAGAGCAGCGAGAGATCTTCCATTTCTCCACCCCCGATTTTAGAGTAAAGGAACCAGAGCCTGCAGAGGTTACAGCAATTTGTTCGAGGCTCCTCAGCCCAGTCAAGCCAGGGCATGGTCTAGAATCAGGCCTTGACCCCTGACAAGGGCCCACTGACACACGCAGTGCCACAGTCACCAGCGTGGACGGGCGTGGCCACAACTGGAGGGTCATGAATCTTACGGGAGACAGCAAGGTAAACAAGGCCGCCTGCTAGGTGGCTGCCCCAGGGAGCCTGACAAAAGCCCAGGGCCAGCAGAAGGGCTGCAGGGAAGGACAGTGCAGAGAGCTGGAGGCCTGCGGGGGAGGCCAGGAAGAGTGGGGAAGGGACCCAGATGCCCCACCCAAGCCAGGGCACAGGAGCCTCCCATGTCCTGTTGGTCTTCATGCTGCACCTGAGAGATCGAAGATAAAAACCAGGCCACGTCACTCCCCTAAAACCCTTCAGCGATTCCCCACTGCCCACAAGTCAGAGCAACTCGGCAAGGTCTAGAAGGCCTTGGCTCATTACTTACGGAACACTTTGGGCACTTACAAAACATCCAACTAACAGAGGCTTAAGCAAGTGGGCATTTAATTATTTTACATAACATGAAGTCTGGAAGTAGGCACCAGAGCTGGGGCAGCGGCTCACCCTCCTCAAAGACTCGTTCTCTTCCCAACTTTCCATTTCCTGCTCCTTCACCCCTGGGCTTACCACCTCGGCACTGCGTGTTGTTGGCTGCACTCCACACCACACGTGCATTCCAAGCAGGAAGAGTTCCTGACCAGCAACCGTGACTGTGTCCTGACGCACATTCCTGCTGCAAACCCCAAGCGGATAGAAGGTTACCGTCATTGGCTAGAGCTGCACCACATGGCCACTGCTGGCTGCAAAAGAAATGGAGAAGATGCGGATTTAGCTCCTCCACCCATGGTGAAATGTCAAGGGACAGGGGCTGGGAATAGTGGTTTGGTCAGTGTGGCAGCACTGAAGCCACAGTGGCTTTTCCAACTCGTTGGTGGCCACATCCTCCCCTGTGCCAGGCCTGCTGGTTGACTCAGCATCTCCTGAGCACGTCATGCCTTGGGTTCCCGATCTGGAATGTCCTCCCCAACCTTGCCAGCCTGGGCATTCCCTACTCCCCCCCCCAAGACTCAGCTCATAGGAGCAAACCCCTGTGAAAACTTATCCTGCAGCACCTGCTCTGTGACAGCAGGATGGCCCTGTGCCAGAGGCCCCTCGTCAGGCTCTGAGCTCTCTCAGGGCAGGTAAGGCCTAAAACCCTGCAGTCACACCTTCCTTCTTTTCCTCACATCCCACGTAAGATCTATAGATAGCAAGTCCTGCCAGCCTCTCTCCATTGCAACGTGCATATACAGAGTCCCGCCCTGCCCCATGGCACCCCGTCTCTCAAGAACATCACTGCAGTGGCCTTCTAACTCTTGTCCCTGCCCCAGATAGTCACTTTTCCCCACAGCAAACATGTCCCTCTTCTGCTCTAAACCAGAAGATGGTTCCCCACTCCTCAGAGAGTTGAAGTCAAAGTCCTTTCCATGTCCTATAAGGCCTACGTGATCTGCCCCCACCCCTTATCTCTCTGATCCCATCTCCTGCTACTCTCCTCCAGCAAGCCGATGCCACACTGGCTTCCCTGCTGGTCTTACGGCACATGCAGCACCAAGCATGCTCCTGCCTCAGGGCCTTTGCATGGCTATTCCCTCTGGCCGGACGGCTCTACTCCAGTATGTATTAGTCAGGGTTCTCCTGAGAAACAGAACCAACAGGATATATATGGACATGTAAGAGGAGATTTATTTTGGAAATTGGCTAGGGCAATTATGGAGGCCAAGAAGTCTCATCATCTGCAATCTGCTATCTGGAAAACCAGGACCCCTGGTGGAGTAATTCAGTCCAAGTCTGAAGGGCTGAGAACCAAGGGGGGCTGAGGGTGTAACTTCCAGTTCAAGGCCAAAAGCCTTGAACCTGACAGCCCAAGAGCCAGGAACTCCGATGTCTGAAGGTAGGAGAAAATGGATTTCACAGGCCATGCAGAGAGCACTCACCCTTTCTCTGCTTTTTTGTTCTCTTGGGGCCCTCGATGGACTGGATGATGTCTGCATACGTTGTTGAGGGTGTGTCTTTTTTACTCAGTCTACTGATGAAATGATCATCTCTTTCAAAAACACCCTCACAGATGCACCAAGAAATAATGTAGAACCAGCTACCTTGGCATTCCTTAGCCCAGTCAAGTTGACACATAGAATTATTATCACACCCAGACTTCCACATCCACTCCCTCACCTCATGCAGGCCTTTACTCAAGGCCATACTTAAAGTGAAGCCATCCCTAACTGCCTAATTTCAAACTGCCATGCCCCACCCAGCACTCTCCATCCCCCTTCCCTGCTTTATTTTTCATCAGGGCACTGATTTAACATAGTATATATGTAATTTATTTGTTTTGACTCCCCCCATGGATTTTAAGCTCCCCAAAGACTGTTCTATTCTCTGCTATAAACTAGCACCTGGAACACATAATAGTTGCTCAAAAAATATTGAGAATTAATTGATTGATTGCATGAGTGGATCTTTGTATCCTTAGCACAAAGCCTGGCCCATAGCAAAAGACCAGCAAATGTGTTGGATTGATGAACAAATGACAGAGCTTGGAAGTACAGCTTGGAAAGAATGAGTGCACTGAGCAGAGGCTGTTAAGAAGCTAGTACTACAACAGTATGTCAGGAAACCAGGTGTCATGGCAATGTGAGCAGAATTCAGGGCAGGAGAGCACCGGTGAAGGGAAGAGACAGGAGAACTGTGACATTCATGCCATTAATTCCATCCAGGATTAACTTCAATTAACCCCCCTAAAGGCAACTTAATTCTATTTTCTCTTTCATCCTTCAAGTTCAAGTTCTAGTAGGAGGAGCTGCTGCCCACTACAAGAATCTCGATTTAGAGGGTAGGAGGGGGGCCCCTTTTGAGCAGATGGAGGAAAAACCCAAGAAGACGAAGCCCTATTGACTCTTCTGGGTGGGCAGCAGAACAAAGGTCTGGTTGTGCGAGTGTGGAGCCTGGCCAAAGATAAAGTGGGGAGGAAAAGAAAGATCCTGGTCCGGTGCCCAAAATCTGGCTGCCTCTGTAATGCAAGCTGTGTTTATGACCCATTTTCACTGTGGTTGGTTGTGTGTGTAATAGAGTCAGATCTGGACAAATCTGGTAGCTGTTTCTGGAATCCAATTCAACCCAGTTACATTTCGTACCAGGTTTCACTCTGGGGTGTTGCTTCCCCAGTCGGCAGTTTAATTACTGCACACCTGGGCTCCAGAAAAGATTATGTCTCACCTGCTCTAAGCTGGAACACTGTAACACCAGTCACATGCAGGAGAAGACGTGAATATCTACGTAAAATGTGCCCACATAAACCTGGTGAGTTTCTGAATGTTTATGGAAATAAGTTTCAGACATGTGTCCAAAGTGGGAAGAAATTTGAGATCCTGGACACGTGGCCAGGAAGGACACTAAACTTGGCAGTCGGTAATTTCCAGTTTCAAAGGTTAAACAAAAACAAACGTGTTTGAGGTGGAGAAGCCCTACGGAGCTTTAGCTTCCATAACATCTATTAATAATATTAGGGTTCTGAGTTTTCATACTGTTTTTTTTAACAGTCACCTGCAGAGAGAATACAAATCCCATTTTCAAAACGCTATCATGTGACTCTGTGTATTTCCATTCTCTTCAAATTTGTGAAACATTTATTAAATCTTAAGAGTACTGTCTTGTGAAATGCTCTGAGACAAACAGGGAGCTTAATTTTGTTGATGTTGTAAAACAGGTAATTTAAAGGTGCTTAGGGTTATGTTTGAGGATAGATTGTTCTGAGAGCAGCAGAAAATGAGAGAACTCAAATAACAGAAGCTATTTTTATATTTGTATAATTATAATTTTACAAGCATTATAAAATGTAATAAAACCATACTGCAATTAGGTTTTTATTAATTTTAAAACCTATAAGAAATGATATGACTGCTGTGCTCTCTATGTTTCTGAATATAGTAGGTTTAATCAAATTAATACTAAAATTTCGTTGTTTTCGATTCTCATTAAATGAAGTTCTTGGCACATTGCTATCACCAGCTTTTCTTCTTAGGATAGCTCTGGTGGCAAAGAATTTACAATCTCATTCTCAGAAATTCCAGACATTTGCCTGACCTGCAAGTTTATTAAATCTTTCTCAAATTTCCTTGAAAGGTAACCAGAAAAAAACTGAAAATTAGGATAAAATTTCCTTTAAAAGCTTTTGAAAATGGATCATGATTTATAAATCAAAGATCACATTTTTTCAAGTTTGAACTGTTGACTTTACTAATTCCCTAGTCTGAATTTTTTTTAAAAAAGGTATAATTAACCATGAGAATTGTATAGTTCTTTTTAAATATTAGTTCTGTTAGGTTTCTTAGAAGCCTGGTCAAAGTAATCAATTTCTATTAAATTCAGTATCCATATTTGCAAATAGGTTAATAGAAATTGTTTAGAAATCACTTTAATTTTCTTGAAAGAAAAAGAGCATGTGAATTAAAAAAAATTAGTAAGCATGGTTATATATCATACAGCATCATTAATACAACCACAATTGTCCTAAACTTTCTAAAAGAATCCTGATTCAAATAATTTTATGTTTTCTACTGACAGCCATTGATTAAATGCATAACTAAATGAAATGTAATTTTTGTGAGCTTTCTTTTCTATAAAATCAAATTCAGAAATCAGAAAGAGTCTTTGGTCAGGCTACATGTCCTATTTTTTAGTTTGGAAAATATTGTCGCTGTAGCCATGAACTTTTGATTGAAAACTGTAATACTACAGCCAATGGGATCATTTTAATTCCTTCCAATTTCTCTGAGAGAACACCACATAAAAGGGGTATGCAAAAACTTCTCAATGAGATGTCGAATTACCTGCAGCAGGTCGTGGGGTTAAGCACTGGGCAGAGGATGACCCCAGGCCCCAGAGCGCGTGCACCAGGCCCCCGCCAAGTCTCCATGCTACCAAATGTGCTGCCTGAGGTCCCTGTTGTCTCATTTTGCAAAATGGACCTGATAATTCCTTCCCCCTCCTTGGATTTTTGCAGGATCGTATGAGATGCCTGTGAAACTACTTTAGCTGTTAGCAGTGAGCCAAGGTAGGAACTAGCAGCCCTGAACGGGGCCAGGGGCCTGAGGAATTTGTGTGGCTGAGCTGGGCTGAGAGTCCTGCCGGGCAGCCGCAGTCTACAGTAGAGAGCGGGTTGGGGCTCCCAGCATCAGGCCTGCTGCCTCTGCTCAGAGCCGCCATCTGGAGTGGGCCACCTGTGCCCCTTGAACTAAAAGCTTGACACCTGGCTGTCTTGTAGGAGAAGGTCTGTGAGATCCCCAGAAACAGCATCCCAGGCTGTGAACTATAACATACTAAGATGCCCCTTCCTCTTCTTTCAGAAATCCACTAACTCAACAAACAATAAATAGAACATTCACCCTCCCCTTCCCCCCTGGCCCTCTTCCTCACCCCTTCCTTAAGGGCCCACTTCCCTTACCCCTGGGGAGAAAGAAGGGGAGCTGTCTCTGTTGACCAGGGAGAGGCCCATTAAACATTGCAAAGGTGACCCAGTGTCCCTTGTTGTAACGCTGAGCTCCGGTTACACAAAGGAAAGGGAGTCTCGTGATCAGACCCAGATTCGGCATGTCACCTACATAAACCCTTACACAAGGAAAACCTCCTCTCGTTGAGCCAACTATAGATCCCTGTGTATGTGTGTGTGTGTGTGTGTGTGTGTGTGTGTGTAGTATGTAGCAGTTGTCTGAACACAGGGTAACCTTGGATACCAGGAAACTCAACTCTCTCAGGCTCGTTGCTAAGGCAACAGGACAGAGGTGGGAGTGGGGCGCCCAGCATAGCTATCTACAGGCTGTGCAGCAGCAGAGGGACATGGGTGAGCGGGAGGCAGGGCCCTGGGCTGACCCACCTCCCCAAGGCCTGGTCTGAAAGGCTGCAGGGACAGTGCAATATTCTGTGTCACCCGTGGTCAAGGAACCTCTACATGGGACCCTATTATACACTCCTAGAGGGGTGCAGGGCAGATGTGGGGGAAGCAGATGTGGGCAGCTACAAGGTGAAGAAGAGGCTTAAGTCGAGGAGTGTGGGCTTAGGGCCACCTAGCAGCCACCTAGAGAGATGAAGCCAGAGCCAGAATATTCTGGCTCAGCAAAGCCAGAATGTAATCTCAGCCACAAAACTTACATGCATTATGGGTGTCAGTCTGGTTAGTCGTGTAATGAACCACCCGTGAATGGCTGGAAGGTAAAGCAGAAGGTTTTAGAATATTCTACAGCTCAGGTAGGTGTGCTAAAACCAGAGAGCCTGCTTCTCTACCCGGTCCCCGGGCTATCAAAGGCCCTGTGTTTACTCTGTTCCCAGCAGGTCTGGCCTGCTGAGAGGGCCCAGGGCCCTCTTCCTGCCGAGGAAGCCAACAGCCCCTGCTCTCCTATGGGCCTCCGGGAGGGAATCACTCCCACGAGTCCTCAGTCCAGGCAGGACTCAGGGCCCAGAGCCACCTGTCTTCACCCTATTCATGTATCATCTATAACTTTTTAATGTTGCTATTATGATGCATGACTGTTTAAAGATACAGGCAAGTTCCCAAAGAGAGGCAATGAGCCATTCAAATAATCATTAAGTGAAAAATTCATGAAATTTTAGTCAAGGAGTGGACAGGCATGCTTGTATTGGAAAAAATCTAAGCTGAAGATAGCTGTGAAAATTAAGCTGGAAATTTAGATCTGAGCTTTATGGCAACCAACCAGCAACTCAGTCAGGTTCTACTGACCTTCTGAGCACGGAGTGGCCAATCCCTGTGGCTGTGCCTGCAGGTGCTGCAGGAAACTCCCTGTGCCCGAGGCCCCTCTTGCCCTCCTGAGCCCACCCTCCCCTGCACCCACAGCTGGCTGGCGGAACACAATCCATCTGCGACCCGGCTGTCCATCTGTTCAGTAAATATCTTTTGAAGACTGACAATGTGCCAAGCTCGGTGCCAAGTACTGGAGACACAGTGGTGAAGAAAACAGTCACAGTCTCTTCCCTTGGGAAGTTCACTGTCAACAGGGAAGGAAACCCCTAAGCAAATAACTCCCTTTAACCTGGCAGGATTGGATGAACAGGACCCATCTGATTCTTCTCTCAGAACCTGAGAATTGGGACGGTGAGTAGATGAGCCACAGAGCTGAGAGGTCACATAGGTTGAGAAGGTGACTCTGCACCGTGGGAAAGCAGGAGAGCCTGCAGCGCGGGCAGGTCTCTGGAGAGGGGCGCCTGGAGCAGAGGCTGGAGGAGGCCACTTGGAAAGGAAGAAGGTAACTTTGTTGCCAAGAGCTTTCCAGAACCCATGAGACCTACAATAAACATCCCCTTTACCTAAGCTAGCTTGAGTGGGTTTCTGTTGCTGGCACTCCAAAGAACCTTGATGACAACACTTGCGGTTCTTCATAGCAGCGAGCTTTCAGAGGTCTGCAGAGCCTGTCTTCATTCTGGTCTATTCAAAGTCGTCTCCCCCGTAAGCCCTCTGCTCTGGCAGGCCTGACACCACCGTCTTGGCAAACACCCAGCATGGCTTGATCATGCTGCCCCCCTCAACTCACCTCTGCCTCTCTAAACCCTACCCACCCTCCAGAGCTCATTTGCAGATTCTCCTCCTTCCCAAAGCCCTCCCTGCCCTCTCTAACGTAGCCTCTCCCTTGTCTGAACTCAGGCACGGCTGTGCAGCCCCACCGTTGTCACATGTGTTAATCTGGTTCCCCTAACTGCCCAGCAGCCAGAGCCCCTCAATAAGTGTTATTTACTAAAAAAGAAAAAAAAAGTAAATAATAAGGTTAAGGAATCTACCATTTATTTCGTTCAGATTCCCCCAAACCCACATGGACTACCTAGAGTGACAGAGGAAACAGAAGCTGGAGAGGTGGCCAGCAGGCACTGGGTTGAGTGCAGACGGAGGCAGAAAGGAAGAAGGCAGGCTGCAGTGAGGATGGGGCATTCCCAGGCCAAGTGAGGCCCCTGCAAGCAAACAAGAGGAGGAGCCACCAGACAATCAAAGAGGGAAGCCAAGAAAGGGGACAAGGGAACTGGAGAAGCAATATGGGAAAGAAGCACGAGCTACTTAAATGCTGTGGTGATAAATCCAAATGAGGAAAAATCCAAGTGCTCATTCTTTGTTTTTGTTTTCTATGTGGTTAATAGTCCTGAGACTTTTGCACACTATTGCAGAAATACATAATCGAGCCTTTTATTTCATAATTGATGGCACTGGTTTAATTTCTTTGCACAGTTCCATCATATTTCCAAAAGGCCTCAAGAGAGGAATGTCCCACACCGCCCTCCCTCCCATACCCCCCCCCCATGCCGTGATTATGTGGCATACCCTCTTTAGGGCATGCTTTATTTTCCGCTGCCACTAAAGCAGCCAGGGTGGGCGAGCTCTCACACATGCGCCACTTTGTCTCCAAAACTCGCTGCCCCCACTGGGCTGACTGGCGCATCGCTGACCACTGTCCTGCTCTCACTCTTCATTGCCTGATGTCTGGCGACAGAAGGCTGAGATTCTCTGGCTGTTCCCAAGGATGTCATTCTTGGCCTCTCTCTCTTCCACGTTTGATTTTATAGAACGATCAGTCAATGTGGCTTTTTCCTTCCCAGAGTTTATAACCATTTTCCAAAGTGTGTTTAGAAGAACATGAGTCCTGTGAGATGTTTCTCACAAACAGAGCTTGAAAGCCAATTTGGAAAATATTGCACGCCATAACCCCCTTTAGAGATTCACAGTGCATGCTTTCATTTCAAAGGCTTGGAGAGCCTTTTCTCATATTTTATTGGCAAGGAATTATTTTTAATGTGGTGTGAACGCCTACTAACATTCTTCAGAAAAGGTATTTCATACAGTGTGCTTTGAGAGATGCTGATTTATAATAGAGTAATGTGCGATCAGTGAATTCTAAGCAAATCTTTTATTGATTCTGCTATTGTTATAGGAATGTAACTTTAACTAATTTGAAACAGATTAGGAATTTTCTTTTACCTTCTGCTTTGATGAAAGCAGATGCTTTTTATGTGCAAGTGAATGTAAACCCACCATTTTTGTTTTTTCTTAAATCCTGCAATTCTAAGTGCTCATGCAATAACAACGCAGGAAGCCGATTGAGATGAAGACTAAGAAATGTCCCTAAGGATTTGCTCTAAGGTAATATGGAAACAGGGGTAACGGTTAACAATATGCAGCTGAGGATAGAATATACGCAGGAGATTGCGGTTGATTCTCCAACAATGCCATTGAGACAGCCACGAGAGATGCCATGTGCTCCTCCGTTATTGCTTTCCTCTCCCAGGGGACAAAGGCACATGGAGCCAAGAGAATGGAGAGAGGTAGTTGTTCAAGGTTCAAGACAGGAGTCACAATGGATGTGTTTTCCCTTCTTGTTCCCAGTGTGAAGCCACTCATAATAGCCATGTTTTGAACACTGTATGGGCCAGGTACGGGGCTAAGAGTTTAACAGACATTATCTTATTGGATCCCCACAACAGTCCTGATGATGTCATTTGTCACCGTTTTGCAGATGAGCAAACTGAGGTTTAGAAGCTGACTTAAGACCATAAATCTAGTAAACTGGCAGAGTTCCCATATCCCTTCACCAGCAAGCTACAAGGTCTCACATCACCTGGGCAGTATCCCACCAGCTCACCCTGCTTTGTCCCACAGAGGTGACATGGGAGCGTGGCAGGTGTGTCCAAGGCCTCACAGTCCAATAAGGCTGGACGTGTGTAAATTGACAGCCACAGCTTGGGACTTGAGCACCTGAGCCCCAGTCTGGGAGGAGACGGAAAGCCAGCTGGTGGTCACTAAAGACTCACGAGCATTTTCAAAATATCCTAATAGGTACTAGAGGGAGAGAAAACTATTTGTCCTGGTGTGTTTGGCTCACATTTTACATTTTTAGTGACATAAAAATGGATTACTTTTATAATTAAGTGAGGCATTTTGTATTTGGATAAAAATATAAAGGGGAAAAAGGAGAAAAACTGGTCTTTATTGCTAGAGGTCAGGAGTTTGAGACCAGCCTGGGCAACATAGCCAGACCCTGTCTCTACAAAAGTTTTAAAAAAAAAAAACCAAAAAACAAGAAAACAGACTTGGAGGCAGATCTTCCTCCATGAACCTACCTCTACTGCTTAATAGCTGCATTACCTTAGACATGTCACTCAACCAACCTGGACCTCAGGTTTTGCATTGTAAATTGATAGTCATGGTAGCCACCCATCCCAATAACTGCAGAGGATTGGAGAAGCCATTTATCTCTAATCTTTAAAAAATACTTGTATATTTCTCTAATTATCAAAGTAAGAGAATTAAATAGCATATTTTGATGCCCCATGTGTAACTTGAAGATTTTAGCTCACTTTTACTCCTTGTTTTCCTTCACCCACTTCCAGGTCTATGTGCAAGTGAATGTAAACCCACCATTTTTGCTTTTTCTTAAATCCTGCAATTCTAAGTGCTCACGTAATAACAACGCAGGAAGCCATTGAGATGAAGACTAAGAAATGTCCCTAAGGATTTGCTCTAAGGTAATATGGAAACAGGGGTAACAGTTAACAATATGCAGCTGAGGATAGCAGGGATTCTAGGTACTTCCTATGGTAGCATTCATTCATTCATTCAACCCACATTTACCCTCCATATCAGGCAGGCACTATGCAAGTTCTAAAAGCTCATAAAGATGGAGACAGAGATATGCAAAGATATAATAATAAGGCTGTAGGGAAAGTGCTGTCAAAAACATGTGGCCAGGAAGCATGCTTTGGAAACAGAGGAAGGAGCTGCAGCTCTAGAGCAGAGAGAGGAGGTCAGTCCTGCCCAATAATCACTGATATATGTGGCGCTCAAATGTTGCTCAGGAAGATGTGGAGTCTTCCTTTTTATTATTCATACAAAATATTTTACATATTTATAGGGTACACGTGATATTTTGTTGCAAGCGTAGAATATATAATGATCAAGTCCGTGTATTTGGGGTATCCATAACCTTGACTATTTATCATTTCTATGTGTTGGTAACATTTCAAGTCCTCTCTTCTAGCTACTTTGAAATATACAATCCATCGTTGTTAACTGTAGTCAGCCTAATCTGCTATTGAACATTGGAGCTTATTGCTTCTATCTCACTGTATGTTTGTACCCACTAACCGGCCACTCTATATTCCCCCCTCACTCCCATACATCCTTCCCGGCATCCAGTCTCTATCATTCCATTCTCTATCTCCACGAAATCAACTTCTTTAGCTCTCACATGTGAGTGAGAACATGCAGTATCTGTCTTTCTGTGCCTAGCTATTTCACTTAACATAATGGCCTCCAGTTGCATTCATGTTGTTGCAGATTACATGATTTCATTCTTTTTTATGGTAGAAGTGACAGGACTGACCCTTTACACTGGGGAAGTCCTGTGGGGCTCTGGGATATTGCCAAGAACGACCAGGTGAGGCAATGTGTGGAATTCCTGCTAACAGAGGCATGAAGGGCCTGAGGGGCCATTGTACCCAACCTGATAGAGCGACAGTCCTTGGTTACATTAGAAATCTATTCTTGCTTTATGGGGGTGAGCTGGCATTCCCATTTCCTTCAATTCCATCTCAGGGTCACGTTGCAAGCAGGGGCAAAGGCAAAGTCAGCTGGCAGGTGTTTCTGAGGCTTCTTCTCCAGTTCCATTATTTGTAGCCAGGATACCTGTTGTCATCTAGTGTCTTCAAGTTCCAAAGTTCCAGATTCCTGAAGCCCTGGGGTTATCTGTCTTGGTGGCTACCACATGAGCATTCTAGCTCCCACCACTTGGCCAGATAGGTAGGGGAATAGTTAGGCTTCAAACCTATGACACCTGACTCCAGGTGCCCCATCCCAGTTGTCTCAGTGCACTTATTTTCTGGTTTTATTGGGTTTTCTTCTTCTTCTTCTTCTTTTTTATCTTGAGACAGTGTCTTGTTCTGTCACCCCAGGTTAGAGTGCAGTGGCATCATCATAGCTCACTGCAACCTCAAATTCCTGGGCTGAAGATCCTTCTGCCTCAGCCTTCCAAGTAGCTGGGACTTAGTGTGGCACCATGACTGGCTGATTTTTCTATATTTTCTAGAGATGGGGGTGTCACTATGTTGCTCAGGTTGGTCTTGACCTCCTGGTCCCAAGCGATCCTCCCATCTCTGCCTCCCAAAGTGCTAGGATTACCACCACATCTGGCCTCTTTTCTGGATATCTTATTGTTCTGTATTTACATCTAATTCTTTATTTAAGCTGCTTACACCCTTCCCTCTGTCATTTTTTGAACTTCCAGATCAGAATGATAAGAACCTCAAACCATGCCACCAGTGGTAGGGCCCCTGAATGACGGAAGGAGGACGTGCATTTTCAGCTGAATCCCACTTTTGCCAACTTACTCCAGAACTTTTCCTGTTAACTGAGCTTGGCCTGCCATTCCACCTCAATCCCACGGCCTTTCACTATGTACTGGGCAAACGGAACAAGCAGAGCAGCATTTGGTGCATCTTAGGCCATCACTGCATTCCTATCCTCTTGGAATTCTCTGTGCCATCTCCTGCGGGAAGCCCTGGCACACAGCATGTGCAGAAACAAAACCAGGGAACACTGCAGAGGAACATGTGATGGGTGCATGGGAAGAATTTGCCCTAGATGCTAATGATGGCAGCTAAGCTCTATGAGCCTGTTCGCAAAAGCATTTGTGATTCCTGCCACATCTTTCAAATGTTTAAAATCCATATATTGAAATTAAAAATAATAGAAAAATAAAGAACATGCACATTCTCCATAATTTCCAGCTTCATATTTTAAGTCTTGGTTACTGAAAGAGGACTGAAGGAGTGAGAAAAGATCTTTGTTCCATTTCTCTTCTTGCCCTTTCTTTCCACAAGTTTCACCCTTTCCAAACCACCTGCCTTTTGTTTCTGAATCTTTCTTCTATTTAGTTTTTCCCTTTGCCACTACCTATTTTGTAAGATTTCAGTTCACAGTCAAAATTGGGAGATGGCCCGGTTCAGGCTGCTGCTACCACATTCGGAGGAGAGTGTCTCTGTGCCACCCACACATGGGTCAAGGATCCTTGTGGGCCATCACCTGAGCCAGCCGGTGTTTGCATGTGTCTATGAACTTACTTCTGCATTGTGCCAAAATACTATCAGTGAAAGGTAGATGGAGCTGTAATTATAACTAATCCTTTGTTATTCAAAGGATGTTGCTTTGGCAGATGG